AAAATGTTCGGTTGCCAGTTTGCGCTGCGGCCGAGAGCTGTAAATTGCAAAGATCTGAGGAGCACTGTTGATAAGTCTGAAGTGCCTACACTTTCACCAGCACTGCCTTACATAGGCAGATAAAACTAACCTTTTTAGGATACAGTATCTCATAAATTTCAGTTGTCTCAAATAAGTTTATTTTTGAAAATGTATGATTGACTGTTTTTATGTGTGTGCTTGCCACCGTATTTTTATAGGTATTCATGGTACAGATACTGTTATATTTGAAAGTAGTAACAAAGACCCATACACCTTTTTTTTTTTTTCATTTTTTGTAGCGGTGTATCAGATGTTAAGTGGACACACATAGCTCCACAAAAAACATTTCTGCAAAAGTCTTTGAAAAGGAACCTCGATACTCTATAGTAAACCACTATTGGTTTGACATTCTTGTCTTAGCGTTTGTCCTTATATTTCGAAAGTCCTATTCAAAGACTTTTACTTTTTTATGTTTCTTTATTTCACGTTAAATTCCATTTCATTCGGTGCACGCACCGTATCGTTGTATGGACGAACGGACATGACAAAGAATTAATAATTCCTCATTGTTGACCATTTAACTGTAATGAAAATTTTACCTGAATTGGTTAAGCGGTGCGTGGTAAGATACTCCGCAGAAAGGTACGGCGGCAGGTCGTCAGCAGCGTCCCCCGCTGCGCCCTCTGCGTCTAGTGTCTCCACCATGGACAGCCATTGACCGTTGTGGCATCGGAATCTTTCCACCTGTACAGTTTTTACTTGAGCGTATTAAATAATTCTAAATCATAGATAAACTAATTAATTAAGAAGATAACATTTAGTTGATTTACGACGTAATATTTAAAACGTACGAAATAAAACTTAATACCTCTAATGAACACTACGCCAACTTTATTTTTTGGTCTTTTTCGGTTATTTTTGTAAACGTCCATATTTATTTACTAATACGAGTATTATGCTACTCGAATTTTGAAAAAAAGAATTTTATTAAAAAAAAAAAATTGAAAAGAAGAAACAAAAAACAAAATAAAAATAGAACCGCACCCGTAGCATGGTTACGCATGATAGTCGCGACGCGCGAGATAAAATAAGCGCGCGCTATTGACCATCTAAATTTTATCTGATTGAGACAAATATCTCACAATAGTTACCTAAATCTTTTTTTTCTTTTTTGTTATTAATTGTTACAATTCAAATTATGAACCGTATCTGTACCTTTATTCTCATAGCCCATTCATTCTGCATCTGTGAAATGATGTCGAGACAGGAGTCGCACATTTTTCTTATTTCGACGTTTTTGTCCTGCATAAGATCAATAAGGTAGGCTGGTGCTTCTGTAAAAAAAAAATATGAGTAAGTGCATTTTTTATATAATGAGCTGTTTGATTATAACTATAATAATTGTAACTATTTTATAAAAAAACCGACCTCAAAAGTTTGTGGAGTTACATCTATTTGCTAAGTTTTATTGAAATCGGTTGCCGGAAAGTGCGCGAAACCGGATTCATCCCCTAATTTGCCACCCTTAAAGGTGGGATATTTTCTTCAAATTTAAATGAGACCAATACTGAGGTACCTCTTTCCAACAAAAATAGAATCATCAAAGTCGGTTCACAAATGCCAGAGTAATCGCGTAACATACACACAAAAAAACAGTTGAATTGAGAACCTTTTTTTTGAGGTCGGTTAATAACTCGTTACTGACAAAATTCGGTCTGTAAAGTCACAATTTCCCTTCGACGAGATGCACTTGATCAATCAAGGGTGGTCTCCCCCTCCTACTCCATCATTAAATGGAGCGTTATTGGTTGATAGTGTACCCCTCACACAGTGGTTAAGACAAGGACAGTTCATAGGATAAACTTATTTATATTTTGAGAGATAAGAGGTTAATAGGGACTTTAGTGAAAAATATACACACCTGTTTTTGTAACAAGGTAGTCCGCTGCACGCGGATGAGACAGCAGCTGTCTGAAGGCGAATACGGTTTGCAACACATGTTCGTCGTCTGCCTGTCGTAGACGCAGTAGAGCAACTAAGGCCTCAATGCCGCCGGCGTGTGCGAACTCTTCTGCACACTGTCGCTCCGCGCTTATAGCTCCTGCCAATATTACGCCTTCTAGTACGAGATCTGGTTCTTTGTTGCCATCTAAAAGTTTAAAAACTGAAATTAATTATGTGGTATAATTGATTATATTCAACTGGGTGCTGAAAGTGGAGGTCCCGGGTTCGATTCCCGGTAAAACAAAATTGGGAAATGAACTTTTTTAATTGGCTTTGGTCTAGAGGTGTGTGAATGAATTATGTTCCTCTGGTGCTCATAGTACAGGGCTATCGTTTTCTCTATATTCTATACTTTGAGACCAGGCAATTGATCAGGTTTTATTTTATTTCTTTACTGCGGGACATTTCGAAAAGCTTTTTCCTTTTTTGTCGTATCTATTACTTTTAAATACATACCTGGTTCAAAAATGTTCATAATGCACTGAATAAGCTTGTACCGAACGACGACCGCGTGAATATCAATATTGTCGTTCGGGTTGAGGATATTGCTCAGAGTACCGATGCACTCCACCACGAAGTCTTCGGACACGTCTCCGCTGGTCACTGCTCCTGCGATGTCGCCGACGAACTCCTGCATACAGAATCATTCATATTTAATTAGTAGTACTACTACATAGAATTTGTAATAGACACTCTGTATAGAACGATCACTATTCGGTACATATCGATATCAACTAGATTAGTACCTACTGGATTGCTTGATGCAATCAATCTACGCATTGTGCGCAAATGTACTATACGGAGAACACTGTAAAAAAATATTACAAATGTCGTTCCATTGTGCTGAAATAATTCAATGAGATCGTGCTGAAACTATTTTTTAGCTTTTTGTCGCAACTTTAGCATTGGTTGCCTCAAATTGGGTGAAAATTTTGCCAGTATCGAGTTTAAACAATAAATATCATGAGGTAATTATTTGTTCTCTCGTCAAGTGACACAAACGTCTTCGACATCAGTCCATAATTTCTAATTATAAAATGTTAATTTTGAATGAATCAAGTTGCATATCACAACCAGCACATAAAATAGCACTACCATAATAAACTTTAGCGATTTCATCAATAAACGATATCGAAAAACATTTACAAAACATTTCTTTTTTAATTTATTGAATATATTGATGTTTTTTGTGAAGGTACTTCATTAAATAAATAATATATTAAATATATTACACAATACATAGGGCGCACTATAAGTTTCCGGAACTGGCCACTTATATAAACAATATTTAAAAAGTAATTACAACATTTGAAAATAAAACTCTTTGGCTGTAGAATACAGTTTTTTTTCATCTGTCACTTGTTTTTACATTGTGGCGTCATTTTAGAAATTGGATGTCTACATCATGTAACACCCATACCCGGTGTCTATTTAAAAATAAATAATAGATCCGGTGCTGGTTATGTACGTGCCTAAAAGTATATAGCAACTAATATTTGGCCGTTATGAAAATATACGTGATCGTGTAGTTGTGATGAATTAAGATTGCACCCTCTACGTTGTGTAATTTTTTATATCGTAAGTAAAAGAGTTTTAAAACACGTCGCGAAATTATTCAAGAGCCGTAATAACTGCCGTAAGGTAAATATACCTTAATAGCAAAAATTAAAATAAATCTTTGTAGTTTAAACCGTTCATATCAATTAATATGCAAGCACAAAATGTCGTAAATTAAACCAAATTTGTAAAATATTCATGCAGAAAATAAACAATTAAAGTAACAACACATAATACTCTCAGAGGCATATCTAGAAGGCTAACTATATATATAGTTGTGAGAGATGACAAAATATTAATTAAATTTTTTAAATATTAATTAAATTAGTATATACGTAAATATAACATAATAAAATATGACCAGTTGCTCCAGTGGTTCTCGGCAATCCATTGTACAGCAGATGGCGTACATAACGTGAGAAACCCGACTACGAAGAGACCTTTAGGGTAAGACTTTTAAGTCTGGATGGGGTACCTATCTGATAAACGATATCTGGCCTCCCAGCACCCTTAAAGCCAGTCCTGTATGAGGTTCGTTAGAAGATCAACCTGAGACCCCGATCCTCACACCCAACAAAGCCTTCAGACAGCTAATCGACCTGTTATAATGCCTAAGTCTCGTTTATACCCTTAAGCGCTTCATACAAAATCATTCATTCACATTCTATGAATAAAATAAATATGCAAGTTACGCTCCCTAAGTTACGACTTGCATTTACGCGCTGCTATCTAACTACGCTTCCCTACTTTGAAAGCAGCCGCGGATGTCTGTGTCAAGAACTAGAGGGTGATGATGAGTTGTGCAAAGTAGTCTGAATATCATTTGAATGCGTCTAACAATTACCATTCTGTGATCCCCTTACATAAGGTTATAGCTCTAACCAGCCTTCACACAAGACGCAGAGGGTCAAGGGTAGTCTATAGCCGAGACGACGTACCCCAGTAACCACTTAAAGTTACAAACAGTTAAAGTTATAAACACCCAAATGACTCAGGCCTTGTGTGTGTATATAGTCCATATGAAGGATCCAAGTTAGGAGCGGACAACGTGCGCAACCTAAGTTGGACCCTAGTACGTGATGTAATGCAGTTTGCCCGGGAGCTAGTCTCAGCCAGAAAACCTTCCTGCGGTGTGTTAGCTAGTGAATGTGTAAAAGTTTTGAGTGAAAGTGTGGTGTGTAGGTACACACCACACCGCACTAGGTAGTGCATGTAGTGGAATCGAACTGCTGAGATCATTCGGCTTCCGAGCCGTTTACTCAGACCGACTCCACGTGTGCTGTAGTGTAGTGTAGAGTAATTGTGTGTGTGTGTGTGTGTGTGTAATGTACAAGTAAAACCTACTAATATCTCTAGGTTGACACAAACGAGAAACACAAAAGCATACGGCATGTGACACAGTGCTTGCAATGAAAGATTAGGTAGAGCAGAGGAGATTTAATTATGAGATGGAACCACTCTTCCCTCATATCAGTGAAAACGCAGTGACACTCTAATTTATAAAGCATTTAAAAGCAGGCAGATAGAGAAAATACATATATTATCACTAACTCTCAGTTCATTCGCACTGTAACTAAACTTGGAGCTTAACTCAACGCAGCTTCGCACCATGAACAACTCCGTCGATAATGTTCTAAAATTACGAATAGATAAACAACAATTAAATCATGAACACCGCCGCCAAAGTCAATGCCATTTCCGTAAACTTTGTCAATTTCATGAGGGCGAAATAAAAACTATCGAAAAATAACCGCAATTCTTTGAACCCATCTAGAATGACTTTATGATGCACATGTGCGTTCGCTTTAGAAAGCTTGGCCATAAATCGTAGTTTCTTTACTACTGCCTGATTTCTTCTGACGCAAGTCAGTAATGTTTGCTAAATACGTTATATAATACATAACAAAAATTATACTGTTAAGAAGTCCTACAGACGACGGTTACAATCACCATGGATTTAACTCGTGAAAATTTTCGTAGTATGATTTTCTACGACTTTAAGTGTAATTTAACAGCTCAGAGGAGCTTCGCTCTGCTTCAAATAGCTTTTGGCGATGAAGCACCATGCAACACGATTATTTATAGCTAGTTTGCAGAATTCAAACGCGGTCGTGTGAATCTCAGTGACGAATTTCGTGATGGTTGCCCGTCCACTGCTGTGAAAAACAAAAACATTGATGCGGTGCGCCGTATGATCAAAACAGACAGGCATGTGACATACTATGAGATTCGGGCATCTTTAGGCATAGGCATGAGTCAAATACAATCAATACTACAAACATTTGGATGTGAAAAAGCTGAGCCCTCGGTCGATCCCACATAATTTGACTGGGGCTCAAAAAACGGATCGCGTCACTTGGTGCAATGCCATGCTTACCAGATTCAACAAAGGGGCGTCAAATGTGGTGTGGGACATAGTAACAGGTGACGAAACATGGATTTATAGTTACGATCCCAAAATAAAGCAGCAATCGAGGGTATTGGTCTTTCCAGATGAGCCGAAACCAACCAAAGTGGCGCGCGTGCAAAGTGCCTCTGATTCTGAAAGTGCGGATGATTGCTTCTTTTTTTAATAAAACTGGACACGTGGCTACTGTTGCTTTGGAGACCATTAGAGTAGCTTTGACAAATTGTAGTCGTCAATATTATTTACAAATTAGTTACAAAAATAGTTATTTGTTATTTATCGCGACGTCTGATTTACCAATAGGCACGAAATACGCGACTACGCTGTCTTATATCGCGATTAGCACTCCTCTTGAATTATTGGTCCATGCCTTAAACTAAACTTACCACAAAAAGAGACCTATTCTGGAAATGATGCGACAGGTTACGCACGAGTTTCATAAGCGTAGGGTTGCGGTGTCGAAAAGCACGCGCCAACAGCTCGCGCAGTCTGCCGTCGCCGGCCATCTGTTGCGAGGCCCGCTCGCACCACGCCAGGTTAACACACAATGCTACCAGTACGTCAGTCGCACCTCCGGAATCGCTCACATCGCTGTTCACGTTTAACAGCAACATATCTGTTAGCTGTGGATAGACGAGCCAATTAACTAAAATTTATATTAGAAAAAAAAATAGCCTGCCCGATTCAGAACGTGACCATATTTTATGAGATCGTATGGACGGGAGCGTTCTCACGAACGGTTGCAAACCTTAAGGGATGTATTTTATCATACATGATTATTTATTTGGTTTTGTTTTTGCAAGTAACAGCAAGCGAAGAGGCGTAACTGAATGTTAGTGTGTATCATACAATAGTTAAATCCAAAATAATATAATACGTAATTAAAGAAGAATTTTGGAAAGGAAGAAAATTTCTAATTATCTTTGTTTTGACAGTTTCTTACCAGTTTTACACAATCAGACTGGGTGAACATTAATTTGACTCTGTCGTCCATACTTAGATGATACAAAATTTTCATTGCTAAGTTCTTGTGTTTGTCATCACCTGAAATAAAACCAACAAGCTTTTAACAAAAGATACTTGTTTAAAACAGTATAAAATAAGGTCCAGTTAGAGAGTAAATTTCACTAACTTACTTGTAAATTGTATGAATTTTGGCAGCAGACCAATCTTGATCATTTTGTTACGCAACTTAGTATCAAATGTCAAATTAAACAGCAATTTTAATGAGACATTCACTAAATCAGCATTAGTAGAGTCCAGCAGTGGTGCTACTTTCTCTACAATTCCTCTAGAAGCCATGCTATTTTTGTTTTCCACAAAAATTGATAACTTTTGCAAAAATGACATGATTAAGATGAGTAAGTCAATGTTGGAATGTCTTTCCATAGCTCCAATGAGCAAGCCCACTATGTCTTTCTTGTGCATCTTTTCTTCAACTCTGATATTATCGGCAATGTTCAGAAGCATATAGAATGCCACTCTTAACAGTTGTTCCTGTCTTTTGGATAAAGTCTTTAGTTTTCTCTTCAATTGTTCCTCATCATTCTTGGAAAGGCATTCGTCAGACGCATTGCAAAGATCTTCATGGTAGCTGGAAACGAGAGAGCGCGACTTTTGTAAGTTCACATCAGCAACGGCCCATGTGCCCGACTTGGGGCGGCGCTTTGGTTCTGGAATGCGGCTTCTTGGTATTTCACTCTGAAAGTAACAAATACTTTCAATAACAGTGCTCATATTTTTTATTCACAAAGAGCCTATTTATAACCTACTGGCAGGGAAACTAACTATCCCTGACTCATGAGACATCTTAAATGGTGTAGAATTCCACAATTGGATCAACTAATTTGAAAATCAAGCTACAATTGAAGGGATTTCTGCTGGCGAATTGACTCTATACACCACAAATGATCAGATGAGTTGCACCATCTAATCATAGTAATCCAACTAATCGCAGGATTACACAGTGAACAAAAATTATTATAATATTTGTTATAGTATAAAGCCACCCCTTTGCTAGTCCTTTTTAATTTTTTCTAATAGTTTGGTTAGGTTTCTTATAGTTTTTTCTAAAAGTCCAAACCTTTGTTTTTATGTGTTGACCATACATATTTGGGTAAAAATCGCACGAACGTTGCCCTTATTTAAAACAACTAATTTACTTATATTAATATAACTGCAACGGTGATAGTATATAGTGTTGTTTGGTATAGTTCCAGAAAAAAATAAACTAAAAGTGTAACTCCCAAAAAAATAAACTAAAATTGCAGGTTGAGGCCTAGTTTTCCTAGAGTTGGGCAATGCTTAGTTTAATTGGAAGGACTTTAGTAAACGTGAAGTCAGAGGGGGCTGAGAAGGGGTAGGGGGAGGGGAGGAGACCCACCCCCCCTGCGAAATTTCAAAGTTAGGACGTCTCGTCGTGTCGTAAACTATCAAGTTTTCGATATATTAATTTTTGAAAATTCGAATAAAATAACCTCAAAATTATATCGCACTTGACAACTAACATAGTATTATCTCAAAAATGGCGGTTTATTATATTTTATCTCAAAACTGCGTTATATTAATAATTTATCTCCAAAATTTTGCTATATTGATCATGTACGATTTAATTTCAAAGTGACAGGACAATACTGTCGCTTTGAAACTAAATAGGTAATATTAATATAAATTAAAGCCATTTTAAGATAATACTATGTTAGTTGTCATGTGCGATATATTATCGCACCAAATGCACGGCAAAAAGAGCAAAAAATGTGGGAATGAGGGGTAGGCGAAGGGAACCCCTCACGAAGTTTCAAACTAAGAATATTAATAGATTTCGAGAAAAAAAAATTGTGAATAAGAACTTCAAAATCATATATTTGGACGTTTAGTGCACACACGGACTCCAATATCTACCTATATCGATCCAATTCGTTTCTGCTCAGAAAGACTTACGCGTTTGTATAAAAAAACCTAACTTAACCTATATCTATCCAATTCGTTTTTGCCCAGAAACACTTCCGCCTTTGTATAAAAAAACCTAACTTAACCTATATCTATCCAATTAATGACTTGCCTAGTTTTATGGAGGGTATAAAACATGAGATAGTATTGTTTGCTGATGATACTTCCTTATTATTTAAAGTTAAAAGGCACCAATGTTCCTACGATGATGTGAACAATGCTATATTTAAAGTAGTTGATTGGTTTGCTGTTAATAACCTACTTCTTAATGAGAAAAAAACAAATTGTGTGAAATTTACATTACCCAATGTTAGAGAGACGGTTACAAACATTGTAGTTAGAAAAGAAAAATTGAATCTTGTGGATACAGTTGTATTTCTAGGTATAACGTTAGATGCTAAATTGCAATGGGGTCCCCATATAAGTAAGTTATCAAAACGGCTCGGCTCTGCAGTGTACGCGATTAAAAAAATAAGGAAACTTTCAGACGTCGAAACCGCTAGATTGGTTTACTTCAGCTACTTTCACAGTCTAATGACATACGGCATTTTGCTTTGGGGTAATGCCGCCGATATCAATAGAATCTTTGTCCTGCAGAAACGTGCAGTTAGGGCAATTTACAATCTGGGCCCCAAAGTATCTTTGAGAGATAAGTTTAAGGAAATTAACATTCTTACACTAGCCTCACAGTACATTTATGAAAATGTAATTTATGTTAAAAGGAATAGTAATTTATTTATGAAAAATAGTGACAGACATAACATTAATACGAGGAATAGAAATAAACTAGCTTTTCTTGATAGTCGTCTTCACAAAGTCAAAAAATCATTTAAGGGGCCAATGTATACGCTTCTATAACAAGATTCCGGTTGATATACAAAATTTGCCTTTCACGAGGTTTAAAACTATAGTGAAACAAAGACTTTATACTAAAGGTTATTATACAACTTCTGCGTACTTGGATGACAAAAATCCGTGGTAGTAACCCGTTTAGCTCATGGAGGTAGTCTCGATCTCTGATGTTTCAAATAAAAAAAATATATTGTAAATGTTATTTACAAAGAGCAACCCCTAGAGTTTCTTGCTCATTCTTCTCAGGGGAATCTGCCTTACGAATGAGCGGTAGAGTTTAACTATTGTGACGATTTCAAGTGTAATAATGCTTACCTATGAAATAAAGATTATTTTGAATTTGAATTCGTTTTTGCCCAGAGGGACTTTCGCGTTTGTATAAAAAACCTAACTTAACCTAAATAATCCAATTCGTTTCTGCCCAGAGCAACTTCCGCGTTTGTATAAAAAAAACTTAACTTAACCTAAATAATCCAATTCGCTTCTGCCCAGAGGAACTTCCGCGTTTGTATAAAAAAACCTAACTTAACCTAAATAATCCAAGTCGTTTCTGCCCAGAGGGACTTCCGCGTTTGTATAAAAAACCATTTTTTTTACAAAACCTAGCATAACCTAAATAATCCAACTCGTTTCTGCCCAGAGGGACTTCCGCGTTTGTATAAAATAAAACTTAACTTAACCTAAATAATCCAATTCGTTTTTGCCCAGAGGGACTTCCACGTTTGTATTAAAAAAAAACTAAACTTAATCTAAATAATCCAATTCGTTTCTGCCCAGAGGGACTATAGCGATAGTAATTTAAAAAACCTAACAATCTTTATACACAACGAATAACAACATAAATACGCAGTAAAAACACTCTGCAAATGGCAAACGCTTATCGTGAAAAGCCAAGAGAAATAAGAAAAAAACAAACGCGATAAATGTCGTTGCGTTTAATGTTGAAATCACGAAATTGTTATTGAATTATCATTACTATTTCAAAGTAAGCTTCTTAAGAAATCATATTTTAAATATAATGTAAATGCTATTAAATAAGTAATAGTGTTTAAAAAACACATGATATCATTACAGTGGAATGTGGAAACTTTTTTGACATAATTTTCGCAGTAAGTAGTTGTCAAATGCGACGATTCTCAAAAATTATTTTCTCGAAAACCTTTGGCGTCCTAAAACTGAAAATTTGTGGAGGGCTTCCTTTTGAATATGTCTATCTGCAAAATTAATTTAAACGCCCAACTCGACGTCATGTATACTAAAGTTGAGCCTTTTAATTATGTAATTATACAGTTCTTAGGTTTTCGCAATGTAACCATTTCGCAATGGTTACACATAGGAAATGAAACTATTTTTGGGATTTACTTTTTCCAGATAGTGTAATTATTCTCAAACTCCTCCCCACATTGACAAGCAGCCTGTATTTAATGATTGATGAAATGGTTAGTAGCTTAGGTAGGTCATAATTATTATATTAGGGGTTAAAGTATGAAATTGCCGTTTTATTGCAATAGGTTCTTTGAATTTCATAGAATCTTCATGGTTTGAGGTTTTCGAATGAAACTTTTTTCAAATGGTTTCTGTGATTTTTTTTTTTTAATTTGAAACATTTGAATATCGACTTTCAATTGTTTTTGTTATTCAATTTAGACAAGAAAGATGGATACTGCGAAAATTCGAGTGATTTTTGAATACGAGTTCCGACGCGGAACTAACGCGGCAGAAACAGCCCGCAATATCAATGCTGCGTTTGGAGAGGGGTCTACTAATGAACGCACCGTGCGATTTTGGTTTAAACGCTTTCGTGATGGAAATTTCGACTTAAAGAACGAGTCACGAGGAAGACCGCCCACACAGGTGAATAACGATGAATTAAGAGAGATCGTGGAAGCCGATCCTAGTCAAACTACCCAGGAATTAGGGGCATGGTTTAACGTTACCTTACCCACAATATTGACTCACTTGCGTCAAATCAATAAAATAAAAAAATACGAAAAATGGGTGCCTCATGATTTGACTGATCTGCAGAAAGAAACGCGTGTTGAAACTTGTGTTGCCTTGTTGAACCGGTACAGAAATGAAGGAATATTGGATCGAATTGTAACATGTGATGAAAAGTGGATTCTTTATGATAACCGGAAAAGAAAAATGCAATGGCTGACCCCAGGTCAAATGCCACAACAGTGTCCTAAAGCAAAACTTACCAATAACAAGGTAATGGTAACTGTTTGGTGGTCTCAGCATGGTGTTATTCACTATAGTTTTCTCCGATCTGGTCAAGCAATAACGGCAGATGTCTATTGTGCCGAACTCCGAACCATGTTGACAAAACTAGCAGTAAAACAGCCCCGACTCATGAATCGATCTTCACCATTATTGCTCCACGACAACGCGAGACCTCACACAGCACGAGAAACCATTTTGACCCTTCAGGAACTGCAGTTAGAACCCATTCGTCATCCTCCGTATTCACCAGACCTTGCTCCAACGGACTACCATTTTTTTCGTGATTTGGACAATTATCTACGTGACAAGAAGTTTTCTTCCCAGGAGGCAGTACAAAATGCTTTCACACAGTTTGTGCAGTCTAGATCGTCGGAGTTCTATCGCAAAGGCATTAATAACCTTCCCATTAGATGGCAGCAATGTATAGATAATAATGGCACATTTTGATTAAATAAATTTGTTAAAAATTTAAAAAATAAACAATTTAGATTTTCAGTACAAATCGGCAATTTCATACTTTAACCCCTATTATTTAGTTGAGTACAAAGTTTCATTAAATTTTTGTCTTTGCTTGCACATCAATTAGAGCTAGACTATTTGGCTAATCTAAATAGTTGGATAAATACATTGTACAATATGACTATTACTCGTAGTAGTTCTATTTTTAAACTGGCATT